GGATTGAATTCTCCTCAGAAAAGGAAAAAAAAATTTTTACTATTTGAAGCAACATAACAATGATGTTATTTGTTTACAGGAAACTCATATTTTACTTAAGGATCAGAAATATTTAGTTAATGCTCGTTTGGGATCCCATTTTGTATCTTCTGCTCCTGGCAAAAAGGGGGGAGTTGTTATCTATGTGAAGCAAAATTTGCCAGCTTGTCTGGTAGAATCAGATCCCCAAGGAAGATATGTGATGATTGAACTTGGCTTGTATGGTAAGAAAGTACTTATAGTGGGACTCTATGCACCAAATCAGCAACAGGAACAATTTTATAGGTTGTTACATCAAAAAATAACTTTGCTGGACTATAGATCCATGGTATTAATGGGTGATTGGAATGGTGTCTTAGATATACAAAGGGATAAGAAAGGTTCTTCTCCTTTTTTTAAACAAGCAAAATTACCTAAAGCCTTTTTTGACATGAAAGAGGACTGGGAACTAAGGGATTATTGGCGGGAATGTAATCAAGAGGAGAGAGATTTCACCTTTTTCTCAGATAGACACCAATCCTTCTCAAGAATTGACTTTTTTTTATTACAACAGACTTATATAATAGAGTAAAGAATGTAAAGATTTTTTCTAGGTCGCTGACGGATCATAGTCCAGTTTGGATGGAGCTGATTCAAGAAAAAGAGGAGAGAAGATCCTGGAGAGTGAATGAAAATTTATTTAGACAAGAAAAGAATGTCCAAAAGTTAAAGGAGTGTTTAAAGGACTATTTTGCTTTAAATATGTATAAGGGGACTTCAATGTCAATGGTATGGGATGCAGGCAAAGCATTTATGCGTGGTATCTTGATAAAAATGAATAATTGTCATAAGCGAAAGCAGACTCAGAAACGTAAAGAATTGGAAGATGAAATTAAATTAAAAGAAAAGTCTTTGATCTTAAATCCTTCTGATGAAAGTATTAAAGAATCTGTAAAGTTATTAAGGACACAATTTAATATGTTGTTAGCAGATCAAGCTGCAACCAACTTATTGTTTATGAAACAAAATACATTTTGTAATGCTAGTAAGCCAGGGAGATGGTTGGCTTACCAGCTAAGAAAGAAACAGAGACAGAGAATAATAGATAAAATAAATTATCAGGGTAAATTAGTTTCTTAGAAGGAATTGATTAAGAAATCTTTTTTGGACTATTATCAAAAATTATATAAATCTACCAATGTTCAAATTTTAGATATAAATAAATACTTAAACGAGGCTAGTTTTCCCAAACTGACAGAGGATCAGAAACAGGAAATTAATGGCTTAATTACTAAGGAGGAAATTGTGTTAGCAATTCAACAATTGAAACTAGGGAAAGCACCGGGTACGGATGGGTTAACAGCTGTTTATTATAAAGCCTTAATGGAGGAGATGACTCAGCCATTAGGTGATCTTTTTAATGATATTTTACAGGGTCTAGAGATTCCTCCTTCATGGCGTAGTGCTTTTATATCATTGATTCCAAAAGAGGATCAAGATCTTACTTTACCAAAGAATTATAGGCCTATATCTCTCTTAAATGTGGATTATAAGATATTTGTAAAAATTTTAGTAAATAGGCTCATGAGGGTTGTGCATTATCTTGTGCATAAAGATCAATCTGGGTTTATATCTGGAAGGTATATGAAAAATAATGTTAGACAAATTATTAATTTATTAGAATATTTAGACAAGAACAACCAAGTTTCCGCAGGGCTGATATTTTTAGATGCTGAAAAAGCTTTTGATCAACTGAATTGGCATTTTATGTTAAGAGTAATGGAAGAGATGAATTTTGGTGAAAAGATAGTACAAGCTCTTACGGTAATATATCAAAAACAAACGGCACAACTTATTGTTAATGGAGGGTTATCAGAGGTTTTTACAATAGAGAAAGGTACCAGGCAGGGATGTCCATTATCACCGTTGTTTGTTTTAACATTGGAAATATTGTTGATCAAAATTCGAGAGTCGCAGGAAATTAAAGGAATAGAAGTTAACAAAAAAGAATACAAGTTAAGAGCTTTTGCGGATGACTTGGTTGTTACTTTGTCGCAACCTACTTATTCTGCAGAAAAGTTATTACAACGGATTCATTATTATGGTGTGGTTTCGGGTTTCAAGATTAATGTTAATAAGACTAAAATTTTACCTAAAAATATGACTAGTCAGGAGAAGCAGACTTTGGTTAATTTGACGGGTTTTGAAATTGTTAATAAGGTAAAATATTTGGGGGTGATGTTATTTGTTTCTAACGCAAAACTATTTAAAAATAACTATGAAAGGTTGTGGGTTAGGGTACAGAAAGACTTGAAGAATTGGGAGAAGTTGCAATTATCCCTCATGGGAAGAATTGCAGTGATAAAAATGAATATTCTACCCAAGTTTCTCTTTTTGTTTCAAATGTTACCGATTTTGAAGAATGAGATTAATCTAAGTGAATGGCAGAAAGGCCTTAATAAATTCATTTGGGCAGGGAAAAAGCCAAGGGTTAAGTTTAAAATTATGCAAGACTTCCGTGAGAGGGGTGGACTCAAGGTACCGAATTTGAAATTATACTATGATGCGGTGGTTCTAACACTAATTAGTGATTGGGTAAATTTGACAAATCCTGAGATACTCCATCTAGAGGGATGGGATTTACTTTTTGGGTGGCATGCCTATTTAATATTTAATAAAAAAATGGATTGGGTCTTTAAAGCTCATATTTTAAGAATTTCTTTACTTAGGACCTGGAGAAAATATTATAAAAGTGATTTTAAAGTACCATTATGGGCTATACCTTGGCATGCGATAGAAGGAATAAAAAGAGGTGCTAAAATGGATATGGTGTCTTATAGACAGCTACTTAGATGGGATGGACAAAACTGGCAGTTAAAATCACGGGAAGAGTTAGCACAAGAAAATATTATTTACTCTTGGTTCCAATATAGGCAACTAGTAGATAGATGGAAGGTGGATTGTAAGGTGGGTTTCTTAGAGAAGATGAAAATTTTATTAAGCAAGTGAAGGATCAAAGACAAACCCACATTAAGAGGATTTATGGGGTTTTAGTTGAATTGGACTCAGAAACGGAACTAATTAAAGATTGTATGATCAGATGGGTGCAGAACTTTGGTGAGCCAGTTCCATTGGACACCTGGGAAACCATCTGGGTGAGAAATGTCAAATTTACACAAGCACAGAACTTAAGGGAGAATTTTTATAAAATGTTTTATAGATGGCACCTTGATCCACAAAAAATGTCTCTTATGTACCCTGACTTACAACCTAAATGTTGGAGATGTGGTTGTATGGATGCTACTTTTTATCATATTTGGTGGTCGTGTAGAGAGATAAAAGCATTTTGGATTAAGATATGGTGGAATATCCAGAGAATTTTTAGAAGGAGGGTAAAATTTACTCCGCAATTATTTTTGTTGGGTATAGTTACTGATTGTGATACAAAGGAGGTTATATTGATGTTAAATTTGATTACAGCCACGAGGCTGTTAGTAGGACAATATTGGAAGAAGGAATCTTTGCCTACATTGCAGGAATGGTTTCTTAAAGTGTCTTATTTGGCGGAAATGGCAAAGATTTCGGCTTTTTTAAAGGAACAAACGCAAGAGAAATTTCTTGCTGTTTGGGATAAATGGATAAAATTTATACAATTTAAATTGGATATAAAAAATATTACATAGCCTTTTCATAATCTTTATTTTTATATATATACATATATATTTTAATGTTATATTTTCTTTTTTTTTTACAAATATAATTTTTAATTGTTTTTTAATTAAGCCTATATTCTGCTCAGGGAAGCTCGGGGGGGGGAAAGGGGGGTGTTTGGGTGGGGGTTGGGGAAGGGGGGTTTTGTTGTGTAATGTTTAGGTTTTTTTTGTATATGTTGTTTTTTGTTTTTGTATTGTTTTGTTCTTTTTGTAAAACTTATAAAACTTTTTAATAAAAAAAAAAAAAGAGTAATGACCAGGGCGGAGAAGGGAATAGGGGGGTGTTGCATGGGTGTTGGCATGGGCGGTGCTGCATGGGCGTTGGTGTGGGTGTGGGAAAGGCGGGGCAACCTTGAAATGTATAAAAACACACGTGGAAGAAATGAACTTTAGTGCTGACTTTAAGCATCCTTGGTGTAAGAAGCAAATTAAACCATTGTTCTTCGTTCCTGGCGTGGTGTTTTGTGTGGTGATAGCTGGAGCCGGAGTCAGGACGAGGTTACACATAGGCACACAGACCACTATATGCAAAGCTAACATTACCAGTGTCAGGGCATCAAGCTATACAAGTCAAGTGTGATGATAGATAGTTCTTAGACATAAAGAATATATCATCAAGTTCTTATATAACTGTGATGCTGATAAATTAACTTCCTTGGAAAAATCCACCTTACAAGTAAAGTCAATTGGGAAGCCAGAATCACTTAACAACCAAATTAGCAAATGTGGCAAGAAATGTCATAAAATGGGGTAACACTCAATAATATCTTGCTTAGCAACATAAATATTGGGCTCAGTTATGGTCGTATGTCAAGGACTACCTGTACTGCATAATTTCATGTAGAGGTGGAAACATCCCCCAATAAATTATTAAGTTTTTAAATAATTTATTTTGTGTTAAATATAACAAATAAAATAAAAATGGCCCAACACTTACTGATTCTCCATTGGGAACATGGAATGTTTATGAGATTTCACCAGTTTAACATTTTTGTTAAATGAAAGTTGGTGGGTTATTTAGTGGTAATATGGGCACTGTGGTACCAGCACACACCAAGGGCATGTTCAGAGATACTAAGCAGCCACTGACAACTGCTAAATGGATTTCACAATGTTAAGAGAACCCAAGCAGAAGGCTACAGAGCCTCTGAAGTTAGGTATTCTGCTGTCTGAGCTGGGTTCTTGCAACAAACCATTGGATCTCAAAGTATACAGTAGCATACCTGTTGCCATGTTCTATGTATGTCCCATCCACCCACTTCCAGTCACCTTCAAGTGCCTGGTCAGTAAGGCCGATCCAGCAGGAAGGAGCCTTCATGATGGTTGCAACATGGCCCTGTCACACATATACAGACACACAAAATAAATTCCAGAACAGTAGCCAATGCCAACAATTTTTTTTTTAAAAAAAGGCAAATACATTTTATGTACAGCTTGATTTGCTAATGGTAGAAAAGTTCTAGTATTAATGCATTTAATCCAATACATGTTGTGTATTGAAAAAGATGCAACCTTGCTTTGAACATGGATGGGAAACTAAAATTGAAAAACAAAAGCAAAAATAAATAAGTGGAAATTGAATGCAAATGCAATTTAGATATTTTTTGGCTATGAAAGATATTCTAAACCGATATTATTGATATTATTAGAAAAATGTAACAAATGTTGATATGTAATTGTATGTTTACTAATAATAATAAGAACTGTATTTGCTTAATGTGGAAAAATTGTTATTACCAGAAGAAGAGAGGATGTACTGGCGGGTGTAATATTGGACCTAGTTGGAAAAACTTATATGTATCACCGAATTCTTAATGGACTCAGTCATCACGTTGTCTATTGAGTACTTGTTTGTGAAAATAGAAAATTAATAAAACATTTATAAAAAGAAAAAAAGAAAAAGATGCAATCTCTTGTGGTTTAGCTCAAGTGACTCCTTCAAAGAATTGAGTAGTTTGGAATGGTTAAGTGAAGTGAAGGCAAACAATGGTTCTCGAGGTCAGGAGTGACCCTGCTGCCCTTGAAACTCTTTTTTGTGCTCTTTCTACCTCTCTCTGGTCCCAGTTATTGAAAATTAATGGCAGTTTCCCATGAGGGCCTGGAGGAAAGTGAAACTGAACTGTGAGAACCCACGAAGTCTTCAAGATCATTTCCCTGGAAGAACAATGCCAACACATAGAGTGACTGTTTCCAAAACATCTCTTTTAAACTTAATTGGACAATGAGAGATAGACAATTGTAAGGGACTAAGGGAGGAAAGTTAACTGGCAAAAGTCTGGTGCAAACTCTCAGTGCTGGCTTTACACTACTGTAATTCACTTGACTTCTAGTAAACAATACCTTTCTCAACAAATGGAGTTAAGGATAATTTTTACTTAAAAGCCCAAATTGAGGCAGGTCTGACACCTGGATGCTCTTGAGATACTGTTATGTGGGTCATCTCCCAGCATTCTCTATTCAGCTGTTGTTGAGAATTATGGGAACTGAAATCTACTTATTTTGGGAAACAGTCATATTGAGAAAAATTGGTACATAACTTCAAGATATAATAACCTAATCCTTCCTGTACATTCTGCTGAGTGGGAACTTGGACTTCTGCCAAAGTTGTGTCCTGTTGGCCTCATTACCATGATAGTCTGAAATTAGCTACATATCCTTAACTTTTATAGCTACACATTAGCTACACATCCTTACTTTTTAGCTACATATCAACTGAAGGCCAATTTTCAGGGAATGCTATATTTACTAGTTAATTATATGGAAATTAAAAAGATTTCTGTAGACTATCAGCACCCAGACGAAATTGTTTAGCAGTAGCTGCTCCCCATCTTTTTTTTTTAAATATATTTTATTGATTTTTTTAACATAAACACCTTGATATTTGGTAAACAGCATGTTGTCTGAGTTTATATTTACAAAGTAATCACTAACGGTTAGTTTCTATATTCCAAAGTCCATATAATAATTTTGCTTGATTTTCTCTTCTTCCAATAATATTCTCTTAGCAACCTTAAATTAATACAATTCTTACTAATTTGATAGGTAACAATTAAATATAAAGATTTTTCTAAAATTTCTACCAATAATAATCACATCAATATCATGCTTCTTTTCTATCCGGTCATCTTGGTTGCCTCATCATAAATCCTGTTTACAATTCTTGTTTAAATTTATTTTTCCCTACAATGTTCAAAACTGGTTAAAATTTTCCCAGAATTAATTACTTTAAAGTATTTAAATCCATTTTCATGTCTTAAAAAATGTAAGAAAAAGACACAAAAGAAAGACTTAGAAAAAGAAAAGACGTGAGAGAGAAAAAGAAAAAAGAAAAAGGAGAAAATAATAAGAAAATAATATACTACTTAAAATACATATCCCTCTTGAACTAGTATACACTTATTTCCAATTTTTTCTGTTCTCTTTACTCATAATTAAATCCAATCATCTAATCTTTTAAGTCTATTCAAAACATTTTTCCCATTTTTAGTTATCCATTGGAATTTTCTTAAAACCAATTACATTTAAATATCTAAAACATTTCCTTTATATTGATCATCCCACACATTTTTATAGTTCTCATATCGAAAAACAAAAGAAAAAAAGAAAAGAAAAACTACTGTCTTACTTGGAGGGTTCATCCCTCTTAAACTAAAATCTTTCTCTTTCTTCAGCCATATTCAAACAAGTATTAATTTTTAAATATTCCCTCTGATATACCCCATCATCTAATTCAGGCATGTCAAACTCGTGAGGTCACGTGACATCACACGATGTATTGGGACTTTTTCCCTATTGCCGGCAATGGGGTGGGCGTGGTTTTGGCATGACGCATCCGGCCCATGGGCCGGCAGTTTGACATGCCTGGTCTAATTCCTCAATTCTCACTTTAACCCTTTTCTTTTGCCAAGCATCTTTCCTGATCAATATACTGAATTCCTTTGCATCAAAGAGTCTTTCCATAATCTTGTAAATGTTGCTGTAGATATAATAGACAAATCAAACATCATGTCTTTGTAAAAAGATTTTGCCCCTTCGTATTCATTGAAGGTTTATCTCATCATCCCTTGTCTCCCTGTTTCTTGTGGTACTCCCAACAGCTCAGCAATCCATTTTGTCAAATCTTTCTCCTTATCCTCAAATTTACTTTGTGGTCTTAGAGTACAAGTTATCTTTTCTATGTTCAATGTTTCTTGTAATTCATTCTCCATTTGAATCTCCACTAGCTTATATTCAGTTGTCTGCTTTACATGATCTCTCTCTCTCTTTGTTTTCTGATCATTTGATTGTTGTGACGTTAAATTGAGAATGCATTCATTTAAATTTTCAAATTCATTTTTAATTTCCTCATGGTTTGAAGTTAATATCATTTGCATTTGTTGTAACAGAACATACATTTCCTCTTGGTAAGTATTTTTTATTTTTTCTTGGTATGTTCTTTCTGCAGATCTCTGAAGCTCCATAATGACCAAAAATCCTTTCTCTGCCAATTACTTTAAAGTCGCAATTTAAAAAATATTTATAATCCAGGAACGTCTTTTTCTAAGTTTTATAGTTCTCACTTTGTAGAGAACTATAAACTCTTTTGTTACAGCTGCTCTTTGTTTAATCAAAGCCCTGAAGGTCACGACAACAGGCTTTTCTTTCTGGGCTGTATATTTAGGGCAGTATTTTCATCCACCACTAGATGTCAGCACCAGTCCATCTTTCAATTTTCTGTATTTTTTTTCAGTAAACTTAGTTCGCCACTTCTGTTTAGAGGAGGGTGGAACAAAGACACACCCCCTCACTTTTGGAGGATTTTTACTTCTGGGATTTTTTCTTTTTTTTCTCAGGAAATCAGTCAGGTAGAAGAGAGAAAATCAATATTCTTACCCAGTTCAGTCACACTGTTTACAATCATGCTTAGTTAGTGCTTTTTGGCTCCGGCTGCATGTAGCTTGGGCTAGACTCACAAATGACGCTAGCCTTTCTTCTGTCGGTTTTTGGAGAGCTTTCCCCAGACATCTTGATCGACCACCATCTCCCCAGTATCAGCGGGGCTTCCCTCCTTCCTTGCCACCTCTCCAGGGTGGCTTTGGGCCCATTTAGGGTCCCCAAACAGAGAGAAATCAGCCGTAGGGATATGACTGTCTTGATCCCTCAGCTGTCATGCTAGCTGCACAGAACTGGAAGCCTCTCCCCACCTTTTTGACAATCTGGCTAATCCTACCTTTTCCTCTATGCTGTTGATCGTCACTAAGTGGAATCCCATGGAGGTGCATGATTGGTTGGCCACATCCCAATTTCCTGGAGAGTAGGAAAAGAAATAGTAGCTCCCCTGAAAGAAGATCCAATCCATAGAAAAGGGGCTGCAAGCTGGATTGAGAAGGAGAAAAATATATTGCCACCTTAGAATTGATTCAGTTCTTAAATGTTGTTGGTATAAAAATTATTATGTGAACTTTAGTAACCATAAATTGCTCTGTTTGGTTGGAATTCCAGATTTAAGTGCCATATTTGTCACTAACCCAAATGTACATACAAATGCTGACATGGGAACACCATCATTTTGTGTGTGTGTATATGTATATTTGGGATGGTAAAAGATTTACGCATTAGCTACTTACACTTCTAATTATTGTGCAGGAAATACGTATACATAATCACAATGATTGCAGGGTAGTGGATGCGGACTGAAAGCAATACAGTATTCTCATTCAGATAACATAAACATTAAACTAAAAGGAGCTTAAATGTCAAGTGCCACTATCTCTGGGAAAGATCTTGATTTGAATAATTGCAAAAGAGATGTCCATGATTTTCCTTGCAAGTCAACTTAGTATTATGTCTTTTTTTTTAATAAAAATTTTTTATTTTCCATTTATCCAGCATAATTATATAACAAAATTCACTTATCAAAATAAAATAGATTCATAATCATAACCATAACCATAGGTGCCGCTTACTCATTCCCCCCAAGCTGCATCCACCCTCTCTAAACTTAGTATTATGTCTTTACTGAAGAGATAGAAGTACTGAACTCAACATGTTCTATTCTTATTGTACATAATGGAGATCAGGTTTTTGTCTGGTAGAATAAGATTTAGGTGGTATCAGACAAAGATAAATGGCCTTAATTATAGCACATGTAATATAGAATGTTTGCCGCTAGGAAGATTCACATGATTATTCCCCCCTCCCATCTTCTGACACCCTTCCTCATCTGATTTCTAATAAGATTAAAAAAGAAGAAGTGCAGCTCCTTCTCCTCCATATAGGGCATTTGCCTTTAACACAACATACTTCATATAATACCCGTGCTCTAACATAGCCTCACAATCACTGAGCATGGTGGGACTGCTGTAATTTGAAGTGTGTCTAACCAGCTGCCCACAAGGGCCAAGTAAAGCTGAAGGGATGTTGCTATGTGTTCCATAGATAGGCTTCCTGGATGCCTTGACCAGGGAAGTTTGCTTTCTGGGATATTATGAATATCTGGTGATTGGTTGTGCCAACCATTCTGAGAATGGCTCACTGAGCTCTCCAAATCCTAACTGATTAGGAATTCCATGTCTACCATTCCATATTTCTATTCTTCATTTATAAGGAAACCATTTCCCCACCTCCACTATTAAAAAGAGATTTTTTTCTCCATAAAACCTCTGAGTAAAGTATATCCCACAATAGATTCCAGAACAAGGGATTTACCTGATCTTTGTGAAATGTTTGGACTATACTGCAGAAATCAGGCAAAACCAAGATGGAGGCTAAATTTAATTTAATTTAAAAGCAATTAAAGTTAATTAAGTAAACAATAGCAAGGTAGAGTTATGAGAACAGGATAGGCACTATCTTCAAAAAGGATATGAACAGTCCCAAATATGTAATCCCTGAATTTCACCATCTGCTCCTTTCTGAGAAGACACAGATGAGCCATACATTATCCATATATGATCCAAGCAGAGATCATAGCTGCAGACATGACCCATGTCCTGGGTAAGACATAACATGAACAGCAGTTTTGGCTGTCAGAACTCATTGCATCTAGAGCGTCCAAGCACCAACACCTTTCCTTCCTGGATAAAGTGAAGAAGCCCTTGAAAAGAGATGTTGCAAAGACTCACTGCTGCAGATGTTGCTATGTGTTCCATAGATGAGCCAGCGACTCCAGCACCCATTCTGGCTATACAGCATTGCCAGCATTTTGGCACTATTGCCATAGTTGAAGTACAGATCTGTGCCTGAAGGGCCAGCAGGTCATGGTCGCAGCACTCCCAGTGTTGAAATGCTCTCTGCACATTGCAAGGCTTCAGAAGGATAGTGTTGTGTCCTGAGCCTGCAAAGGCAGGCTCGGGACATTGCAATGGTCTCGGGCAGTTGCAAGCTGCCCGGGACCAGACTGGGTGGTGCCAGCTTCGCGCACATGCGCGAGGCGTGGAAGCATGCCTAAATGTTACCTTTTTGCCCAGGGATGCTATTAAAGGAGTCAGAAAGGCCTGTGAGCATCAGAGCTGTGACGGAGAGAGAACTACTTCAAATAAAGGGCTGTTGGAATTACAGAATGTGCTGTATTCATTCGCCGTTGACTCAAGGACTCAACAGATAGCCACCCTGTTTTTTGCTGTGGAGGCTTCCACACATAGCTGTGATGCCACAAGACGAAGGACTCCTCTGGAGAGCAACTGAAAGTGCTGGCTTGAGACATCAGGGTTACAGGAAACTTTGATGAGATTGTTGGGCTCTTTCATAGTCATGCAAGCATTGTGAGCTTCATTGAACAATAAGAAGGGGCCAGGTACTGGAAGAGGGAGCAGAGTTAGTGTGGAAGAGGGATAGACAAAGAGTGAGCCAGAAGGGGGGGAGAAAGGGGGAGAAAAACAGAGAGATAAAACTTAGGTCTCTGCTCAGCATCACCAAACAAGCACCAAAGGAAAGGAAAGCCCCACAATTCAACTCTTTTTGAAATGTGATTTTTCTTTCTCTTTTAGGCATACTTGAAACTGGGTAAATGAAATCTCTTTACAGTTTTAGATCCTGGCAGGCCTAGAAACTTATAAGATGCTTGAGAGGGCCAGCTGTTAATTCATACCAAAAATTGGGTGTATTTGCCTGAGATTTTTTGGTAATTCTAATTCTACTGTTACTGGGTTTATGATTCTTTTAATTGGAAAAGGCCCTATATATTTTGGTCCAGGTTTTTTACAGGGTTGTAGGGACTTTAGGTATTATGTAGATAGGTACACCATTTCACCTATAATGAATGGTGTAGGCTCAATCCTTTTTTTATCGGCTTGTGCTTTGTATGCCTGCCTAGCTTCATCTAGTGCTTTTCTAACTATTGGCCAGGTATTTTGTAGTTTTTCCATCCATTCTTTCAGTGATGGGATCGTTGGTTCGTTTGGGGTTAATTCTGGCATGGGGTTGAAACTTTGACCGGTGGCTATTTGAAAAGGAGTGTAACCTGTGCTGGAGTGGACTGCATTATTGTAGGCAACTTCTGCAAAAGGGAGTAAGTCCACCCACTCGGTCTGCTGGAAACTAAGAAAACATCTTAAATATTGCTTAAGCACAGAGATCATTTTTTCAGCGGCCCCATTTCCTTGTGGGGGGTGGCTAGATGTCAGTCCCTGAGTGGTTCCTAAGAGGGATAAAAATTCCTTCCAAAATGCAGATGTAAATTGCACCCCCTTGTCAGAGATGATGCGTTGGGGTGCCCCATGCAATCTGTAAATGTGCTGGATGAAAAATTTTGCTAAGGCTTTTGCAGTGGGAATCTTTTGGCAAGGGATAAAGTGCACCTGTTTGGAAAACAAGTCCGTGACCATCCAGACAACAGTATTCCCATTGCTTTCTGGCAATTCCACTATAAAATCCATGGCTATTTCCAAACTTTTTCTGAATTCAATTCCAGTTTGACTGTCCAGTTGTGGTTTTAATTTGGCTTGGGTTCTTCTGGTTACTGGTGCTGCCAGTTGTGACTCTGCCATTATTGGTTAAGAGTCTGTGGTTGGTGCGCTGTTATATTGAGGCATGCGAGACAGTGCATCTGCCAGGAAGTTCTTTCTCCCTGGTAAACGTTTGAGCTTAAATTGGAACTGGTGAAAATGCTGGGACCAGCGGGCTTGTTTGGGATTGAGTTTCCTGGGCGTTTTCAGGGCTTCCAAATTTTTGTGATCAGTCCACACCTGGAAGGGGATTTTGTTGCCTTCCAGGAACTGTCGCCACGTGAGTAATGCCCAACGTATCCCATAAGCCTCCTTCTCCCATACAGGCCAGCGCTTGTCAGAATCCAATTATATTTCATCTTTAATTATCAAACATAGAAAATCCCAATTCTGCCTTCTCTGGATTCTGCCATAAGGGAGAGAGAAGGGGGAGAACAAAGGGGCTTTATGGCCCTCACTTCCTTCAGTAGACTTCTAAGGAGCTGAATGTGTTTATTGCAACCTCAAAGAGTTTGAACCTTACCATAACAAAGGGGGCTATTTACCTTTCATGTAGTTTATCTGAAGTCTCCATCCAGATGGAAGAAAGGAGTAAAGGGGTGGATTTGTGATGCCTGAAACTATCACTGGAAGGGGGGGTGATTGGGTGGGACTACTGGGGAACCCCTTAAAACCTTGAATGGGAGAGCTTGGACCCCAAGTCCTGTCTAGCACACCTGCAACCACTTCTTTTTAATAAAGGATTCCTGTTGGAAGAATGATTCCAAGAGTTCTGTCTTCTTAAGATGCAAAGTGGGGTGGGTCCTTACATTAGACAGGACTTGCAAAATTAATCCACCTGGAAGGGAAACCCTTGCCGGGGGATTTTGCAAAAATTTACCATGTCAGCCAATGGAGCAAGAGAGGGGGAAAACTCCCTGGAAAGAGAGCCGCTGACCCAGTTGGAACCTTGCCAGATGTTGGGATCCGAGAGGCCAGATTCCTCAGGAGAAGAAGTGGTGGAGACACAGGACCACAAGCCTCGCTGGTCGATGGGCGTTGGAAAGAACAGTGAGTGGGGAAAGGAATCAAGAAAGGTGACCCTGAGACGGGGGACCAAGCAACCAGAATGGAAGCAGGAGATGGAGAAATCCCTGCAAGCAAGTGAAGAGGGAGGAAGCTGGGCACCGTACTCAGACTGGATCCTAGAGAAAGCTATTGACCTGATGAAGAGAACTCTCATCTCCCTAGGAGAGGAGAATCCTGAGCCCTACGGCCGCCCCAGCTCCTGGAGCCGCAAAGGAAGAAACACCAAGGGGGACGTGGAACCTGCAACCCGGGGACAGCTACTGATCCAGTAGCCCCCACCCCCTACTGGACCACAGATGGCAACCTGGACGGAAGACATTACCACCAACAATGAAGGCACCGATCCATTCCAAGACGTCCACC